AAAAAAGCTAATGCGCCTTATTCGGAACCTCAGTAGGTGGTGTGGAAGACCAGAATGGACATTTTTTAATCTCGTTTTTTTTTGGCTCATTTTTTTGGCTTTTTATGCAAAGAAAAGTACCATCCCTATAAAATTCAGTTGGTACAGGAGTTATCTGAGGACGATCCAGACCGAAGGCTACAATTCTGTGTACAAATAATGTCAGGCAGATGTGCAGTTTTTACAGAAAATACTTTTTTCGGACGAAGCAACGTTTTACTTAAATGGTACTGTCAACCGACACAATTCTCGTTATTGGAGCAGAGAAAATCCTCATTGGATAATGTGGTATTATTGAAAATAAAATCATTGGGCCTTACTTTTTGATGACTCTCTGACAGGTGAAGGATATTTATATTTTTAACAAATTTTTTGGTACCTCAATTACAAGTTCTGTATCCTGATAATAACAATCCAGATGAAACAGATATAAATGTTTGGTTCAAAACAAGATAATGCTCCACCACATTTTGCACGTGGAGTGAGATACTACTTGGATGAAGTATTTCCTAACAGATGGATTGGCAGACGTGGAGCCATTGAATGGCCACCTCGATCTCCCGATTTAACGTTGCTTGATTATTTTCTCTGAGGCCACTTAAAGTCTCAAGTGTATTTAAATCGAGCGGAGACTATTGACGAATTAAATTAAAGAATCACCAAAAAAATTGAATAAAAATGGCCCGTACGTCATACAAGATGTTCTTCAAGAATTTAATAACCGCATTGGTTATTGTCAAGAAATTAACGGCAGTCATTTTGAACATTTAATACCATACAATTGTACTATTATTAATAGAATAGTTAAAAATAAAAATTGATGTTTCTTGAATATAAATGTACAAAAAACAAACTCTTATATTGCTGAATAGTGAATTAAAAACCTTTAAAATGAGGTATCACACGCTACCCTTTTCTATTTAAAAAAATTAAAGGGGTGACTTTTACTCCGAAAAGGTTGAAGGGGGAGATAAATAATTTTGTTCAGAAAATGTCATTTTAGAAATAAAAATCGACCTGCTCAAGGATTTTTTTCAAAACGTAATAATAAAGCCAATAATTAATATATTCCACAAATATGGACCACCCTGTATATATATAGTACTTTTTCACTCTAACACACCTCCAGGCATGCATGTCTCCATAATCGGCCACTGAATACGCTCTTTTTTGATAAAAATGACACGAAACTTGAAAACCCAGGTGCCGACCTTCTATGGCCCGTAGCGCAAAATCCTGACGGTAGATTTTTTGTGCCCATTACCTTTTTTGTTCAGGATGTCGAGATCTACATTTTCCACAAAAAATTAAACCTTGGGACTGAAACCATTTTTTTCTATAAAAAGTGCGGGGTCGTTTCAAAAGATTTGTTCAATGCAATTAAATTAAAGTACAATTTTGTGGAATTTTTTTTTTAATTGAACCTATATATAATTTAAGAGCAAAATAAAACACAGTTAAGAGGTTTTTGTATTGTTGTAATACAAGTATAAAAGGAAATTTGGGAATGTACATGGTATTACCTCATCCTTTAATTTCAGCTTTCCCCTTTTTATTTTGCTAACAGTACCATCAGTAAAAATAGTCTCATAATATTTGATAATTTCTTCTAAAAAGTAGAGAAAAGCATCATCTCTAGAAAGTGCTTTATCGGCAGGAGAAACGATATATATGCTGCCACTGTCCTAAACGTTTAGTATCCTATAAAAAACATTTACAATGACACAATTGGGGCCAAAAAAAAAATAACAGAAGCAACTCTTTATCTAACATTAAAACTTTTGGTTCAAGTTGTTTGAAATGAAGAGATAAATTTAAATTTGAAAATATTAATATTAATAAAATTGTGATTTAGCAAGTTGTAAACATCCCGAAATATATAATTTTGGGAGTGAGGATGACCAGGAACTTGTTGGATACGTTGTGGACAATGAGCACTGATGATGGCAAATAAGCCGAAAGCGCTTTGCATTGATTAATAAAAAAGTTTTGCACGAAATACAAGTTTTTCCTTTTTGAATCTAAACTACGTGCACACAGCTGTCAACCTTTTTTGGTTTTTTTTTTTTATTTTTTAATAAATACATTATTTTGCTTACATTAGAAGCTTAAAAAAGACATTGAATCTGGAACGACAAAATCTTGCTTTGATATTTTTTGTCACTCATGTTACTTGTACTTAGATAATTTTTTTCACATTATTTGATTCTTTTCACCAATTTTTTAAAAAATCTTTTAATTTTACATTGACTTACATAGAAAATTGAGACCGCTGTTATTCGACATGCCAGCTACAGTCAATTTCACGAACTTTATAAAAAGAAGGACCGAAATTTGAAATTTGACCATTGCCGATTCACCTCCTTCTCTCTAGTCTTCATAGTAGAGAGATATTGCAAATTTCTATAACGTCAGCTACTAATTAGGCATTCCAAACTAAATGGCTACCAGTGGGTTTTGACGGGTTATGATATGGCAAAATTATGGCAACCCTGTAGGCCTGGTGATTTGACAAGATCAATGAAATAGATAGTTACATAGATTGATCATCCATATTTTTCAAAATAAACATAAGCTTATGCCTTAAAGTAAAACTATAAGCAATTATTTTTTTGAAATACCTAAAGGCTAAAAATTGGTTTTAAAACACATTTTTGCTAAACCGATTCAAATTAATAAATATTTACCAGACAATATGGCCGCTCGTAAAGGACCAGCTTTGAGCAATCTATATAACTATATATGTATCATTGACCCTGTTAATGACAACATGACAACAGGGTTGCCATATCTAAACTGTCATTACCCACTGGTAGCCATTTGGACAGGTCGTTGGAATGCCTAATAGTGACAACGTAACTAGAGGCAAATAAATTTTATGCTAAAATAAGACTTATTGCAAACCTGAAATTTTGACATTAAAGTCCTTGTCCTTATTAGACATTCCAACGACCTGTCAAACAATAGGTGCCAGTGGGAAATTCTTGTATATTTAAGGGGGTAGCGACATAGTCTTGCAACTTGGACGCTATTTTTATTCGAAGTAGTACTCGCCAAGCCTGCCAAATTATGAAGAAATGTATGGGTGGGTTTTTTAAATATTATTTTTATTGTGTTTGACATAAAATATTTAAATGTAATCCATTATTTATGATTTTGCGTAAAGTAGATAGAATACACCATATGTCGCCACCCTTAGATATACCAAACCTGCCCACTGGTAATTCATTTGTTTGGAATGTCTAATACATATTTATAACATTTTAAATTACAGTTCATCTTTTTTGTTGTTCATAATAGTACATAATATGGAAGAGGCATTAGAAAAAGGTTTAGATGACGATGATATTAAATATTTACTATTAAAAAAATACGAATGTTGGCGAGCGCACCCGAAAACTATAATGACCCGACTAACAGCTGTCCTTAAACATCCACAATTAAGGACAGGCACAATCTTTATTAAAGTCAGTTCTAGAATGTAAGTGATCTGCGCATGCTCAGATGTCCAAATATGTTATTTAGACAAATATGTTACTCAGACAGATCACAATCTGAAGCTCGGTCAAAGTTTATCGGGCCCATAGATTTTAATGAACATTATTTCAACCGACTGTTAGAAAACCAAACAAGAAAATTAAAAATTCATGTAGAGGCTAAGATAACATGACAGAGAAGAATAACATGGTAGCTGCAGGTAACTAGAATAAAACATTACAGACTAAACTAGCCAGGAAGTTAACGCTACCATAAGTAGACACTGATGAAAACTTGTTGAGATCACAAATAAGGTATCATATTTCAAAAATGGGTCCACGCTTAAATTTTAAGAAAAAAATCATATGACCAAAGAAATTACCATGGTAAAATTGATATTGTTTTATTATTAAAATTTGACATTTATATCTCGAATGGTTTTAGAGTAAACTTCCGTTCCCGGAGCTTTGGACCAAAAATAAACCAACCACATCCTGTAAATGTTTCTTGTTATATATTAAAAAAATTATAGCATTTTAGCTCTAGGTAAATTTTCCATTTTAAACTGAATCGCTCCATGTTAAAGGGGCGTAAGTCCAATGCTATTTTTACGAAGAGTACGCCCGTTTAGCATAGAAAGATTCAACTGTATTTTGTATTTTATACATGCTAAGCTGGTATCAAAATAAACATTTTTCTTTATTTTTTTATTTTGTCAATCCTTTTATGAATGAAGCGAAAGATTAAAGTTTATTTTTCAAATTCATGAGAAAAATATTTACCTTTGTTAAACCTATTTCAGCCTTTAATATGAATTATATTTTGGTAAAACATTTTCACCATGATAGTAAGACGTTATTACTATAACAGTAAACCCGTTTTACTGTAGTAGTAACATATTATTACTGTAACTGTACAAAAATTTGACTGTAGTGGCATAATATTATTACAGTTTTGCTAAATTGGTAAGACATTATTAATGTAAAAGTAATACCGTTTTACTGTAGTAGTAAGAAAATATTACTGTTACAGTACAGCAGTTTTACTAGAGTGGTAAGATACTATTACTCTAACAGTAAAACCGTTTTACTAGAGTTGTAAGAAATTATTATTGCAGCATTAGAGCAGATTTACCAAAGCAGTAATACAGTAATACTGCAGCATTACAACTAGATGTTACGTATGGTAATCCTAGATATTGGTGGTAGTTAAACTATTTTACTGTACCCGTAAGGAAAATGTACTACCTCCGTAATAAAATTTGACCAGAGCTCTAACATAGTCGAATAAATTCTTAGTAATCTAATTATTAGTAAATCTTGTATTACTGTCACGGTAAAATCTTCTAGCTGAGGCATATTTAATTAACTTTTTCTTACTGCCACGGTAAGAATTTTTTTCTGTGTATTTAACATTTACTATTCATTCATACCCTCATTAATTCATAGTACCTAATAATAAGATATGTCTTAAATCAGTCTTACCTCTCTTCGGCTTATCACTAGTAATATCACTGAGACGGTCGCTAAGTAAGTCTTGAGTAAGCGTATCTTGTTCATCCTGATCTAGGTGCTCGTTTTCAGGATTGTTCAACGAAAGTTTATGGCACACTTCGAAAGCTTGACCTACAGTCCGAACTACACGCATAGCTTGGCTCTGTAACAAAATTAATGTATTTCACCTAATAATTCATCGACTTGGAAAATGAAAATTGGAAATGTTACATGTGTTACATATGTTCTTGTTTGTTAGATTGTTTAGTGGTATGTCTTGTTGTTTTCTCTTGAACTTGATCATTTAAATTTAGATGACTGTTTATCCAATAACGAACTGAGATTTATCACAACTAGTTTTTTTGTAACTTTTTGGCAAACACATTTGTTTTATTTCTGACAAAGCATAGATAACAACAGAAATTTCTGGATCAGAAATGATAAGTGCTAATACAAAATACGAGCCAAATAACCGTAGTAGTTGATGCCGGTAAAACAAAAACAAAAAAAAAAGAAATAGCGAAGAAATAGAATTTCTGATAGCACTTATTTTTATATGTGGCATAAACTACATATTTTTACATCAAATTGAATATTATGACACTATGTTTTACCCATTTTGCTAAAAAAAGTCATTTGTCCAATTTTTATAGATTTTAGATTATTCGATTAATTTCGATTCATTGGGTATTCGGTTATTCAATTAATCTATTAGGTTCCATTTGCATCACTGATCGTTAAGAAATAGGCTAAGCTTAAAATGGCCCTAAAGAATATTTTTGCTTAATCCATTGCTTTCAATTAATCAAATAATTAAGGAATCAATTATTTAGAAAAATCGATTCATTGTTAACTTGATCATTTTCGAATAATCGTATAATCGATTATTAGATTAATCGATATATCGATAATATTTGATTGCTAATTAAGAAATCCGAATGACCGACTATCGATTTTTCTAAAAAAAAAATTAAACGAATAATCCATTAATCGGATATGTTGCCTTATAGTTCCATTGAAATGTCATCAACAGAAATTACTGGTAAATACATCATCAAAGAACCATGCACATTGAAGCCATTAAAATAGTTTGTTGTCGGATTTAAATTCAATATGATCCAGGAACAGAGAAATATTCAGAAGAAGAGGAATGTTCGATAGAAGATATTAAAGCTATAGCTGTAAATGAATATAAATCATAATGCAAAGATACAAGAGGGTTAAAAAAATAACCAGATGAATAATACAACTCGATAAATGGATTAAAAAACTTTTTGTCTTAGACGTTATCCAGGAGGATTTAACGATGAAGATGGTTGATGGCAGAGCTGGGGTGGATTCGAATAACATAGGATTCGAATCCTTTTTGAGGATCCGCGTGCGGTATTCGAATACTTAAGAAAAAAAGGATCCGTAATCCGGATCCTTAAGGATTCGTATTCGAATCACCAATATTAGTCTCGGATCCTTTTAGAGGACAAACTACGCTTTGACTTGTCACGAAGTGTAAACTGAAATAGACTGAGACTGAAGACAGATTGTTAATATTTAGAAGATAAACGTAACAATCTACAAATTAATGTCAAAGAAGGCAGCAGAGCATCTAGACAATTTTGAGTTGAAATCTATGCCATAATTTTAAATTATTTTAAGGCTATTCAAAAATTGTATGCTCCTCGTTTGTTTGCAAAAATCAAGGTTCTCTGCTAGCTTCGAACGAACCCAGCAGAGCACCTCGGTTTTTTAAAGCTTTTTTTCTAAAAACAACCAGACCGAATTTTTAGACTAATTTTAGGCTTTTGAAATATAAAACTTTACCAAAAATTGCTATGTTCGAATAAGACAGGGTGCTTTGTTGGAACAAAGTTAACAAATGTTTAAGTTATTTTTAGGCTCTTAAAATATTATAAAACTTTTTGAAAAAATAGTGTTTTTTAAAAAATACAGGGTTTTCTTTATTGGAACAGATGTGCATTGCTGGCTAATATTTAAAAAGCTATACCAGCAAAAAATATTGTGTAGTTGTTTTTGGAAAAAACTGAAAAAACTGCAGTGCTTCGTTCGAAGCTAGCAGAGCACCTTGATGTTTGCAAAAAACGATTAGCATAAAAATAGCTTTAAAATACTAAAAATTTGGCAATGTTTCAAATCAAAATTGCCTAGGTGCTCTGCTACCTTCTTTGATATTACAAATTAGCAATGAATATCCAACATAAAAAACCCCAAAAATTTAACACTTGCCTTCTTTTGTCTGGTGCAGGCTAATGATTATTTTTGTTTACAGGTATAATCAGCGGCTTTGAAATTTTGGTGTTATTTAAGACCAACCAAAAGACATTTTTATTTCATTGTTTATTTTGTTATTTTTTATTAAAATATAATATATTTTTTGCAGATTCTAATTTTTAATGGTTCATATTTATAAAAAAAAATAAGTTTATTTTTTTTAACATCTTCTTGATCAACCATTTGTATGCAAGTCATAGTCCGTAATAGACACAGTTGATATTGATATTAGATTCGGAAGCATACATAATACCATGGTATGACACTGACAGTGATTCGCATTCGTGATCCGAAAAAATGGATTCAAATCACTTGATTCGAATCCATTTTTATTGCAAAAAGGATTCGGACAAAGGATCCGTGAATCGAATCACATCTCCTGATCCAAATTCGTGATTTGAATCAATTTTTTGAGGATTCGTCCCAGCTCTGGTTGATGGTGCCATTTGACGTACGGACGAGGAACAATCATAAATATCTGCACAAAAAATGCCTACGTAGGTACCTACATTAAATCCAAAAATTATCGAATTGCGTTTCCTTAAAACATTTTTCGAATTTTTCTAGATGATATACTCGTATATTGAAACATAAGCGCTATTTGATAAATTAAGGTATTTTGATTTGAATCGTTAAATTTTTATTGTCCAGTTTTTAGTTGCAGTTATGTGGTTACAATTAACAACAATTTAATTTTAGAACAATTTAACTGTCTAAGTGGGATGTATAGTTATGAAAACGTGTGGGAGACGGGAATATTAAGGCGTTTATATGGATGAAATTAAAAATAATATTCAAATATATAGAAAACCTTTCACTTCGATGATATTGCTTGACTCGTAACCTGAAATATAATTGCTATATGCTGCTATTCAAAAAGAATACAGTGCTAATAATAAACAAGAATAAAGATTGAATCTAGAAACATTAAGAGAATAACTACAATTACAGAATATAGCAGTGATAAATTGTAACGGAAAATCAAAAACGAATAAAAGAGTAAGAGAAATATTAAATCGGAAGCAAAAGAGAATATGCTAAATAAATGAGCGAAGGTAGGAGAAAAAGCAGAAATTATAAAAGGAAAAAATGAGAAAGATATAGTAGTAACAACTGGTAAAAGATGAAAATCGTTAAATGGAATAAATGTGGCAAAGTGTAACAGAAAAGAATGGAAAATAACACACTAATCATACAACCATACTTAGATGAAGGCTTATGCAAGGACAAAAGCCCAATAAGCCAACTACCTAGCGTTGACCATACACGGGGCTATACCAGTAAATTAAAAAGGATACAATTCTGAAAATGCCTACTGATATAACCATAACCACATGATAGAAATTATCAAATTAAAATGTCACTCAGAGAACCCAAGAAACAGGGATCTCCCATAAAGGCTGAACTGGCCTGGTATGCAGACAATTCAAAAACCAAAGAAGGAACCGGTACTGGAATCTTTGGACCCAAGTCGTTTTACAATGATTTCGCTGAGTCTAAGAGAATACTCAAGTGTTCCAGGCAGAACTAATCGCCATACAACACTGTACAAGAAAAATGATAAATCAGCAAGTAACAAGAAACCGGAGGGGTTAGCCGAGAGATTAGTGTGCATCAACATTCTCTCAACAGTTTAGCAATGATCTCTCCGGTCACGACGTAGATAGATGACTGCTGGGGACTTCCACCATGAGTCGTGTTACCATGGAACTTATCTGACTAGCGTTTAACCATCGACGACGTGGAAAGAATGGCGGTAAATAAGCGAGTGAATAGGTGAATGGAAAAATTAGTAGGATCTTTAAATGGTGGTACAATAAGCCGCAGGTCGCAATGCCGCCAGGCTACAGATGGATTAGAGTGATAGTAGGGGGGATCCGAAGGGTATAAAACTAAAAAAAAAGTATCAAGCAGCAAAACTATAATCATTTACTCTAATAGCCAGGCAGCTCTAAAGACAATGCTCGCACCAGAAATCAAATCACGACTGATGAAAAACTGCCGAAAAAGACTGATAGGGCTATGTAGTCAAAATAAAGTGACATGAATTTGGATAACAGATCACCAAGGATATCAGGGCAATGAAAAAGCCCACGAACTAGCTCGAGAAGGCTTAGATAAGGCTATAATAGTCATAAACCTTCTAAGAAGATATTGTGCAAGGAATACATCAAACAACGGGTGAAAAAAAGTCTCAGGAATGGTAAAATAACTTTTTTTGAGATCGACTAGAAAGTATACACTTTCTGAACAACTTTTCGTCCAGAAAGTAACGTTTTGCCGATTAAGATCGGAAAGTAGACGTTAGGGACCGGTAGTAGTAATTTACGTTACAAGGCCGGAAATTAGTGTTTTGCAGGTTGAGATAATCTTTATCTTTGTTGGTTATAAGCAGGTAGGAATAGGTTTGGCCCAGAATTTGGCCCAGAACACTGCGGCCTCTTTGGTCTATTGTATTCCCCTGCTTTCCCCATATTCCGGTACTATCTTTGGAATAGCCCTGTGTCTTTGGTTAGTTTTAATAAGTTCCCTACCAAGTGCTCCTAGGGCGTTATTTCTGGTTCTAGGGCGTTATTTCTGGTTCTAGGCCGAAAAGGATGAAACAACGCCTAGTAAGAGCTTCGCATATAAAGATCACATGGTATAAGGTTTCTTCCTTATCCATGCAGAGTCTATACGTAGTGGGATCATTGTGTAATCCCATTACACGAAGATGTTTCAGCAAGCAGTGCCCCGTTAGTAATTCCACAATGGTGAATATCTGAGGCCTTGTGAGTTGTAGTGCCTCAGTAGCCATGCGTGGATATGGTCCCCTCACCATGAGCTTACTGATTCTGTGCCCTCTTATCTGTTGCCAGTGAATTTGGTATTTTGTGGTTATCCACCTGTTCACTGCCTGTCGAGCAGAGGTTTTGCTTATCCCAAATACAGGTTCGGGTCCTGTGAATGGTAGTTCTGATCCCTCTTTGGCGAGTTCATCAATCTTTTCATTTCCTTGGATACCTATGTGCCCTGGTACCCACGCTAGTTTTAAAAGCGTAACTTTCTGGGCGAAAAATTGTTTAGAAAGTGTATATTCTCTGGTCAGTCTTAAAAAATTGCTATTTTTGTATTAAGAGTGAAAGTTGCCGCGAGTAGCAATATGTCGAAAGCGACAACCAGTTTTCGCTTAAAATTCAAAATGCACACAAGATTATTTCTAAGATCACATTATTTTAAGAAATAGATATAAAAACTGAAAATTTGTCGTATGTAGTGTATAATATGTTGCCTATATCTACATTAATCATGAAAACAGGAGTTGATGTTTAAAGTCAATGTTAACTTGGATATTAAAACAAAAAAACTTTAAACTACGAACAAATAACTCAAAAATAATTTATTAAAAAATATATATATATATTATTATATTATACCAATTTAAATTAGGCAAGCAACAAAGCTGTCACTTAATGTCACTTCGCGGAATAGTGATAGTGATCGTATAAAAACAATATTTTAGTAATAGTAGGTATATTATTTTTTGCATAAAATAGTAATGATTTTAGGATAAATCTTTTTAATTGTATGGGTAATGACTACATTAATTCTGTTTTTGTGCAGTTATTCTACACCCGATTTATGCTAATTAATTATTTTTTCTGCGATCACCATTTTTTCTGCGATATTTCGGCAAACGGTTTACCTGTAATAGCTCTATCTCTACCGCTAAAAAATTACAATATATTAGCATCGAGTAGGATGTCTAAATCATGCATCCTATAACCGACAACTCCAATTTAGTTTTATTGTTGCAATTATTATACAATTTTTCTATTTCTACTCGTTTATAATTTACTTTTGACCAAGATTGATTTATAATAATATACTATTACTTTTTCCAAGTTTGATTATAAGACGCAAATAAGGAAGATCATAAGATGTTTTAATTTTTAAATTAAATAATTATACTTGTACGAAAATCAGTTCTAGGAAGAAAAATAATTATAACTTAATCCTAATAAGTATTACCTTCAAATAACTCGAGTTCTGTGTAACAAGATTTCACTAACTCGATAAACATTTTATTAATTTAAAAATGATTATTCTAACTGCATTTCAAAACTAAAACTTTACCTCTAGCTCGGTATCGTCAAAACTTTCTTCCCGTTCCAAAACTCCATTAAAACTTGCATTTCTAATCAAAGTTTGAGGCTTAACTGACGCCTTTTCCATAATATCACGTATGTTTCTATAACTGCCGCTCCTTTGCTTCAAACCACCGATCCCCAGTTTATTATTACTTCTCGTAATGGTATCAACAATTTCAGGTAATTTAAAAGACAATTTCTTTCTTGGTTTTTCTAATGCTAAAGCCTCAGTATCTAGTGGCGCTTCTAACTTATCCACACATAAATTTGACCGGGAGTTATTGGCAACGATTTCATCATTTTCATCTGTTATTTGTATTTTTATCGGGTACGATCCAATTGAGTTCTGTTTTTGTAGTGGAATAGGTCTTCTTTCTTTTGTTTGACTTTTGACATTAAAGAAAATTTGATTTTTCCCTGAAGGCTGCTTGTAGAAGTGATCCAAATTGGCTTGCGTCTTGGATTTCGTCATTCCTTTTTTGGTTTGGTTCGACGCACTAATATTTTTATTCGATTTTAATGCTTCACTAATGTTAATTAGTTTGTTTCTTGCTTTTGTTAAGACATCTTGTTTTTTCTTTATTAGTTCTGAATCTGGTGGTTTCTCTTCTTTGGCGTTTTTGATCATTTTGAATGTCATTTGGTCGATATTGAGATTACATGTATCTGTTTAAATTAAATTGAACGTTCGATAAATTATGCACAGAAAATAAATGTGAAAATTAATTACCCCGTCTCCCTCTAAATTACATTCTTTTAAACAATGTTGAAACTACTCGGTTCCTTCCATTTTTATTTTAAATTTTAATCAATACATTTGGAGACTTAAAAAATTCTATCTACACTTAATCCCCTTAACGTGGCATTCATTTCCTTAATTGATAAATAAATCAAGATGCACTTCATTTGAAAGGCTTTAAAAGTTGAATTCAAAATGTGTCACACTTGTGATATTATATGGAGTTATTATCTTATATAAATTAAAATGTAAATAAATAATAAATAAAAAATGTAGTAACCTATTAACTTTTCAAAATTAACAAATGCAAAATGCCAGGGATCCCTTATCCTGACAACACTCCAGCAAACAAATACTTGACTATGACTAGACAGAATCTGCGCCTGGTCACAGGCATTCTGACTCGTCATTTCCAAGTACGGAAGCATCTCCATATCATGGGGCTGTCAGAATCCGCACTCTGCAGAGGTTGCTAACACCGGCCGATATAAGTGAAGCTGGCTCACGAGCTAGGAGGTGCCTATCGTCTTAGGAGGATACACAATACAAGTGCCGTGGAGGTAACCCACCCTCCATACGTTACAGATACACATAGGGCCACTTAAATCTCGTGGATAATTTTTAAGGTACAATGTATTAAAGTTAAAAACTCCTATTTTTTCTAATCGCATAACTAAATAAAAAACAAATTAATTTATATTTTAGTTACTTATTTGTTCAGTTAGCCCTCTTTCAGACGGGGATACTGTATGCAAGATACGCGTATCCGAGATTCAGGCTGAGCATACATTCAAATGGACCTATGCACACGGTACGAGCGACGCATGCAGTATCGCGATACGGAATTTCTGTATCTAGACACCTTCAGCCGCAGAGGCTAAATGCGTATAGGATATATGGACCCTCTCAGTCATGGATACTTAATTAATAGTCTGCTATTTTTGTTGTTGCTAAATTTCTCGAACATTTTACAATTTGATTCTACATAATTTTGGCATTAATAGTCAATTGATTAATGCCAAAAATTATGTAGAATCAAATTGATATTAAAATATTCTTGAGATTTAGATTCAACAAAAATAGCTTACTTCTATTAAGGTCTTGGTATGTAACCCTTGATTATTTTCGTATATTCGATTATTTGCGATTAATCGATTAATCGATTAATTGATGATTTATAAACAATTAATTATTTTAGAATAATTGAATAATCAATTATTTTCTATTGATTATATTCGAATAATCGATTATATTCGATCAATTGATTATTTCCGATTAGTCGATTATTTTCTACTAATCTATTATGGTCGACCAATCGATTATTTTCGATTAATATATTATTTTAGATTTTCTTAACAGACTACTGTGTAAAGAGTATAATAATACCGAATAAAGTGGATAAGAAGATGCGAATGGAGGAGGTTTTCAAATTAGTTCGGTAACCGACCTTGTAGGCCTCTTTTCTTCGGTAGTAGAATCATATTATAATAGGCACAGGAGTCTCTAGTTGTGCCTTAACGTTATGCTTTAACGTTACACTGTAAACATTTTGATAGACAATTATAATTGCATACCGTAGGAACGGAAAAAATATATATTTAACTTTTCCAGTTTATTATTATGTACCCATCGCTATATTTTAATGTATTTTACACACAATCTACCACGGAGTAACTCATTTATTGAAGCAAGCAAGGTACACAATAATGATATTTAAATTGAAAATGTATTTTCAAAGCATAATTAAGATAAATATCGGTTATTTTATAGTTTCTATTGGTCTGGAGAAGGATATCCACATAACAAGGTGTCAACACCAAGATGATGTCCATAGACGCACAACACTTCTTGCGTATGATTTTATGCAACTGCATGAAGGGTTGGGGAATACGCGTAAAGCTGCAGAAAAACAGGGCTAAAGTGCTCTTTAGTCTGCAGCCACTGCAGCAGGATTTCATGCATTAATGTGCCAGACATCGTATTTGCGGTAGATTCCCAGTCTCCAGAAAGCGACGAGGTATATGGTAGATAGATCTCACAGAAGACAGTGACAACCTTGTTTCAGTTATTTCCAGTGGAAAAACCGACAATGCTCGGCCATACTCTTCCAAGAAAGCACAATGTAATTCCATAAATTAAACACATTGTTATTTATTTCATTTACTTGATTCATATTGTGCTGTGAAAGTTTTGAGCAGATGGGTTTTTGTAATTCTGGACCTGCCCGAATTACAACATAATATACTCGTATTTTAATTTTGAATAATTTTTTTGAAATTGAAATTAAAATTTTCTTTTATAATTCTCATTTTATTTCATAAAATTTCAAATAATAAGTAAAAGGGGCAAACCAGTATTACTTAATATCGTCCTTTTTTGTGAAAACAATGAAATTAATTTATGGAAATTCATAAATAAATATTATAACCCCTTTACGAAATTATGGAAATTATTTCCAAACCACAAGGTGAAAACAAATCAATGAAAAATTGTTATATGATTACAAAAATTAGAAAATGTTTAACTTTAACCTGAAAAACTATTTATGATTTAAGTGGTCCCGTGAGCATATATTTGGTATAGTACTATAATACAGTGCACTAAATGTTTGTATAAGAATTTGTACATGCTCTAGCAATTAATTGGGGCTATATCGATGGAATGCTTGGTAATCTTGGTAATCTTCCTGAGTGGTTAAAGGAGTTTCATAAATCTTTCTTTAAATATATTTCCATACAAAAAAAAACAAAGGAGTGTGAGGTCAGAAGATCTAGGTGGCCAAATAAAAGGGCTATTCATCAGTACGAAAGATTATCGTATACAAAATTGACCGACCGGTTTTGTCTGAATATCTTACAGAAAAATTATCACAAGATAGGTATAGGGAAAAAACAAATTCATTTTATATTTGTCCGTAGGATATGTTGAAATATTAAAATATTATGTATCCGTTTAAAAAATATTGATGTTTTGTTAAATCAAAATTTAAATATGTTTTTCTCTCCCTCCGTATAGTAAAATATCTTTTAATATCAAGTAATAGTTATTTAATACCTTCTTCACCATATTTCAATTTATAAAAATATATATTATTTTAATACCCACAATGGCAATTTTTTTTCTAATATTACCAATTTAAGCTATGCACATTATTATATAAACTGACTCTAAAATTTTATGTTCTATCAGAAGTTTACATCTACTTCGGGTATAAGCACATACTTTGATCACTATACGAGGCAAGAGAGAGAGAGAGGTCCGACACGCCCAACATAGGGCGCGGCCATTTTGAACACTATGACACAGTTTACAGCTAAAGAATCAGATCGCTCACTCTGCGTCGGCACTTTTGATCTCAATGTTTCAGTTTATACACTGTGCAACTCGGATAATACAATATATGACAACCGCCTATAATAAAACAGCAGTCTTCTGCGTATCCTGAATTTGTATCCCTGGAGTGGATGTTATTTTGGAACTTTCAACTGGTCCGAGTGAGCTAACTGATTCTTTAGCAATAAACTGTGACTTCAAAAATAATTAGGCATTCCAACGACCTGTCAAACAATAGGTGCCAGTGGGAAATTCTTGTATATTTAAGGAGGTAGCGACATAATCTTGCAACTTGGACGCTATTTTTATTCGAAGTAGTACTCGCCAAGCCTGCCAATTTACGAAGAAATGTATAGGTAGGTTTTTTAAATATTATTTTTATTGTGTTTGACATAAAATATTTAAATGTAATCCATTATTCATGATTTTACGTAAAGTAGATAGAATACACCATATGTCGCCACCCTTAGATATACCAAACCTGCCCACTGGTTATTCATTTGTTTGGAATGTCTAATATTCACTGACAGCAGCAAGCAAAATATCAGGTGCGTTTTAATCATCCGCTTCTGCTTCCGGAATTGTCGGTTTAGTCGTTTTAACCTGTCAGATTAAAACAAGAAAACCGACAATTCCGAAGCAGAAGCGGATGATTAAAACGCACCTATTAAAAATATTGCGCCAAGATGTAGGCAACACGTAATAAGGGTTCAAACTGGCTAGGTTTTCTATCTCCTTTTAAAAGGCACTCAGAAAGCTGCGCAGTGCGACCATTCTCCGTATAGTAAAAGAAAATCAAAGTATGTGGGTATAAGCGAAAATGACAGAACAGTCAAAATATTTAACATGTTTACTATTTTTACCAATTTTTAACAAAATCCAGATTCAGATAGTGTCCCCTGCACATACTTTGATTTTCTTTTACTATACGGATAATGGTCGCACTGCGCAGCTTTCTGAGTGCCTTTTAAAAGGAGATAGAAAACTCCGCCATTTTGAACCCTTATTACGTAATGCCTGCATCTTGGCGCAATATTTTTAATAGGTGCGTTTTAATCATCCGCTTCTGCTTCGGAATTGTCGGTTTTCTTGTTTTAATCTGACAGGTTAAAACGACTAAACCGACAATTCCGGAAGCAGAAGCGGATGATTAAAACGCACCTGATATTTTGCTTGCTGCTGTCAGTGAATATTAGACATTCCAAACAAATGAATAACCAGTGGGCAGGTTTGGTATATCTAAGGGTGGCGACATATGGTGTATTCTATCTACTTTACGTAAAATCATGAATAATGGATTACATTTAAATATTTTATGTCAAACACAATAAAAATAATATTTAAAAAACCTACCTATACATTTCTTCATAAATTGGCAGGCTTGGCGAGTACTACTTCGAATAAAAATAGCGTCCAAGTTGCGACCATTCTCCGTATAGTAAAAGAAAATCAAAGTATGTGGGTATAAGCGAAAATGAATAAAAATAATATAATATAATAACAAAACGAATAAAAATTGCTACTGTCAGTGTCAGTGAATATTATTTTTGGAGTCACAGTTTATTGCTAAAAAATCCGTTAGCTCACTCGGACCAGTTGAAAGTTCCAAAATAACATCCACTCCAGGGATACAAATTCAGGATACGCAAAAGACTGATGTTTTATTATAGGCGGTTGTCATATATTGTATTATCCGAGTAGCACAGTGTATAAACTGAAACATTGAGATCCAAAGTGCCGACGCAGAGTGAGCGATCTGATTCTTTAGCTGTAAACTGTGTCACAGGGTTCAAAATGGCCGCGCGCTATGTTGGGCGTGTCGGACCTCTCTCTTGCCTCGTATAGTAATCAAAGTATGTGGTCCCCTGTCATTGGACAGCCTGTGAGTCCAAAATTTATGACATGCGAGTCAGGAGACGGAAAGTCAGTTTGCATAATAAAAGCGAAGCGTCCTTTATAGTCCAGGAGCCAGTGAAGTTTATTGGTACTTATTTTCCCGGTCAGGAAACACCGATTGAATTCGGTTTGTTATTTTAAGCAAACTTTATATATATGTAGGGTTGAGGCGAAAAATGCATCTGAAAGTACAAATATACTGCACTTTTTTTCCAGTAATAAAAATAATTCTATTAGTGAGAGATATAGTGAAGTTAAGAAAACAAAATAGTCTGGCTAATCTGTGAGTATGGGTAATATGTCTGGCAGGAAAAAATTATCAAAGCCATTGACCTTATTTTCGCAGTCCTAAAAATTTGTCAAATAATAGTTCATATTATAATTACAGCTACAAATATAGTCTGGCTAATGTGAAACACTCCCAAAGCATTGCCAGACTCGTCAAACGCTCGTCAGGTGCGCTAAATTTGTCATGTTCAATTATACAGGTAATTGTTATAATTTTTACATGTTCTTACTTTTCATAATTTTTGATAAAAAAAGTATTGCTTTAGGGCGAAATTTTATCATGGTTAAAAAACACTTTTCTCGACGTTTTGAGATCCCAGGAATCCAAAAAAACATGGTTTTAGTAAAATCTCTATCCGTCAGTTCGTCCGTCAGTCATCAAAAAACATTATTCGCAAATAACTTTTTAACTATCATAGATACGAGAAAGTTGTTATTTGTAGAAAATTTATTTCCCTACAAAATCGATCTCTTGTCATTCTTTTATATAGTCCTTAGTTTTTGAGTAATATCAATAAAAAAAGGAATATGGTGAATTTTTTTTTTTTTCATCTTAACCCGAATATCTTCAAAACTATACAAGATACGGGAGAGCGACTAAAAATATTTGTTTTAGGGAATTTAATTCTTGACATTTTTGTATATCTCGTGAAATATATAGTGAAAATAAAAAAAAATATATTCAGGCGCAACTATCTGTGGAACTATACAAAATATATGAACAAGATTAAGAAGCCATATTGTAGAGAAATTAATTTCCAACAAAGATATTAATGACGGATGAACTAGCGGGTAGACATTTTGCTAAAACACGAGAAATATCACTTTCAGCTGCCTAAAAAATCAAAGTAAGCAAATACACTGTAGTAAGTGTATAGAATACCGAATTCTTATTGGGCAGATTGAAAAATATTAATTTATGAAATCATAAATTTTAATGGAAATCGCAGAAATAAGTTTTTATTTGACATCGATCTTTAAAAAATACACTAAAATTAGAAAAATGAAAAATAAAATTGTAATAAATTAAATATAATACTAAAAAATGAAACTACAGTGACATATCAAATAAATTCTTCTTCATCTTCATCAATTTCTTCTTTGTCATCGCTATCATTATCTTCGCAATACACGTTATCAGCGTCATCTTTCTCGTGACTATCATCAATATCATCGATGCTCTTTTCAACCTCCGAAACATTAGATTCAGGGTTGCCTTCCTCTCCTCATTCAACTATCTTACTTGTAAGTCTGGCGGTGCTTTCGTGATTGTAAATGACAGCCAGACGTGTATTTTCTATAAAATTATAGTATTATTTATCATGTGATAAATTTTTAAATCCGGGAAAATAAGAGCAATAATTTTGTAATTTTGACAATTTTCAAGATGCCGCCAGACTCATTTAGCAATTTTGTAAATCAATCAGACTTACTTTTGATTATAGTATGACAGTATCAAATGATAGGTTAAATTTCAAGCATGGGAAAATTAGGGTTACGGATTTCAAAAATCGGTCAAATTTTTGGATTCGCAAAATTTTCATCAAGACTGACTTACCTCCGGTTAGGATATGCCAGACTGTTATTTTCATTAATAAAATTATTCACTTTAATAAATGTCAAATATGGGACTGGGATAATAAGTGGACTGGTCTTTTTTTTAACTAGTGAACTCATCCAAAAATTTAAGCTAGACTCACAAATTGTCGTATTGTGTCACCATCCGAACAAATAATGGCACATCCACCGAATACGAAAATAAGTATAAAAAGTCACTTCCTCCTGGACTATTAACAGCAGCAAATTAAAAAAAAAATATTGTTTATACAATTATTTTCTTTGTTGTTTATTTTTTTTTTAAGTTACCCTGAGATTGTTACCCTTTTTGTTTATTTTGTTCCCAATCCGCTGTTTTGTGAGTTAATTGGTAATTAGGGTTCAAAATAGCGAATTCAGCTATACATTTTTTTATGAGAAATAAATTGTTCACTGTGGAATTTAGAAAATGTTCTTGTTTTTGGAAATTAAAAATATTACATTTTGATTTTGTAATTAGAGACAATGCAGCAGTGACTTAATAATAATATTGAATAAAATTTATCTTTATATATAAATATATATTTTTTTGTAGATATTGTACATACTCGAAAAAAAAAATAGTTCCCCTTCAAAAGTATGGCGATTTAATAAGAACTAATAATTCAAATATCTAATGTTTCCAAAGATTATGCATTAAAGATAAATATTTTACTTGAAACATTTTTTAATTTATTCATTGCTACGAAATTAACAAACAAATTGAAATTTTGCACCTTTTCTCAAATTTCTTTATTACAGTGCATTTTAGAGAAATGATGTAAAGGCCAAAAATGATAAAAGAACACACACATAGGAAACATATCAAAAATCATGATTCGTATGCTTTCATTACTGATTACAGAAAAGTAAAAAAATAATACTAAATATGACACGAAAATTTGAGCCATAGCAATTAGATAGTATAAACCTTAAATATACTTATTATTGAGATGCATTACTTAACTTTACTTATTGGATTAAAAAATATTTAATATCTACAGAAGACATTTTTAATTCAACTTTTCAAGAATATGACAAAAAAAACATTATTTTGGTAGTACCCACAAGAAACTATGTTCGTCATTTACCTTGATTTAAATATATTCAAGAATTTTTACAAATTTATCCCTAATTATTTTTTGCCTAGGGTTATAACAAAACAAACTGTCTAGTAATAAAGAAAATCTACTTTAAAAAAACCACAATATTTTCTATGCAAATTCGTTCACGCTTTTCTCCATGAATCCATTTTCACCTTTAAATTAATAAAATTAAACCTTCCCGCACTTTTCCTCGCAACACGAACACTTTGATTTTTGAAAAAACACACCGCGCTTCGGCTAGTAGAGACACAAACGTTGTGGAACCGGCCGACTTGACTTAGAGATAGATGCTCAGGTGGCCGTGGAAAACTGATTATAAACGACGCTCTTAGAATACGTCGCGACGGCAAACATCGCTAATCGCACCTTTGAGTTTATACACTTAATTCTCTCGGTGCGTTATTTATAGGTTTTTTTGTCTATATTGGTGAAAAACTGCGAATGCGGATGCCAAAGGATTGTCTGTTGTATACGATTGGATATTTACAACGTTTTATCGTATTTATAGTATTTATATAAAAAAATATTCTATTTAAGGATCACGGCAGACGTAACATTTGTTTTTGAAAATGGAAATAGTTAATATTTAAACTACAGTTGCTGTATACATTTCCTTTCCTTATTTTCGCCTTTGTGTCCGTGAAAGCATTGAATTGAATAATTGGTTATATTTCCTATATAGTGGATATAGGAAAAAAGAAAGTTTTATTAAAATGGAATATCATTGGATCAGAATGTATGTTTCGCAGAGTTATTTGTGCAGCTCGATTTCAAGAAATGGATCTTGCAAATATATTGTCATATGAACTAACAGTTGTTCCAGCGTCACTCTTTTACGAGGATGGTTCTACGAGAAAATCAACAAAGTCTGACCTTGCGAAAAAATAGAAAACATTTACCAATGCTTTAACGACTTGTCCGTCCGTAGACTCCTTTATTGTTGATGGAATGGTAACAGTTCAAGAATTACAATCTTCTACTTTTGTTTACGAGAGGGAAGAAAACATGGAGCAAAATGAATTACAGTAGTCTTTGATACCTATTTACCCAATTCGTTAAAAAATGGGGAACGACAAAGACGTGGTGATTCCAGTAGTAAATTTAAAGTGGCTGGTTCTAGAAAAGTACCCAAGTTTCGAGAATTTATCAGGTCTTCAGCGAATAAACGATCATTACTAATATTCATTATAAACTATTTTTTGACAAAGTACCAAATTTACTAAATGACTGTGAAACAGTAATTGTAGCAGGTGGATTTGAAAATCCTCAACTTTGTTTTGAAGTAAATAAAATTACAGGGCCAAAAGAGGTGGAAGGACTAAATAGCAATCAAGAAGAAGATGACACAAGAATGATACTCCACGTTATGGTAGAGCTAAAAGCAGATAATACAATTCTGGTAAAATCTGTTGATACCGATGTCCTGATCTTGCTCTTACATTTTTACTGTGAAATATCAGATATGTCCTAAAGCAATGTATACATACAAATAGGACATGGTAAAAATTCACATTTTTTGTCTATTAACAATATTATGGCCAATTTAGGGACACAAATGTGTAAAAAACTACTGGCAATTCATTGCTTAACTGGATGCGACACATAAGATAGAAAAGAAAACAGCATTTGATGATTTTAAAGACCTAGAAAATCTTCCCTTTTTATCACAAGATAAAGCATTAGAAGTTAGTACTAAATATATACTTTATTTGTATAGAAAAAAAAAAAAAAACAAAAATATTGCTTCCTTAAATCAATTACGGTGGTACCTGACAACGGACTCAAATCGCACATGTCGCCTCTGCTTATATAATAAAAAGATACCTACAAATAGCTATAATATGTATCTATTATTGTTTTAGGTGTCTGTATCAATTAAATATTTGGTACAATAGCCACATTCAAAATATGCCACTAGAAGATCCGACTCTATACGGATGGACATATATTTGGAAAGCCAATTTTTCTTCTCAACAACCAGTGCCCGATGATGTAAGAACAATTTTGTCTATACGATGTTCAGACAAAAATTGCAATAATAATAAGTGTACCTGCATTTCACAAGGGTTAAAATGCTGCAGTGACTGCAAATATACAAACTGCTGTAACAGCCTAACCTATGAAATTTGATCAGACTGCGAAGATGAAGACTTTTAAAATATGTTTTTTGTTATTTAGTTTAATTAGTTTTATAATTTTTTGTTTAATGTTTTAGAGACTATTGAGTTTTTTTTTGTTTTTGTTTGATCAGATGTACCTATTAAATAATGTCAAATAATGGTCAATATAAATATCTTTAATTTAAGTTGGTATAAAAGAGTTTATTCGTGCGATGAAGATAATTTTAATAATAAAATTTTATATTGTTAATCTAAACTAAAGCAATAACTAAACTTAATTTTTTTAAATGTTAAGGAACTTTTATTAATTTACAGGTCGCAGGTATAGTTAAGTCGGCGCCCCCACAATAACATTATTTTTAGCTAGCTGCACGGCCGCGGTCGGCGCGGTGGCCCATGGAGGTGCGGAACCTTTTAACTTCAAGTAACTATTGCTTGAAAACTATGATACTTATAATAGTAATTGTTATTTTAAAAACTTTCTTGAATCTTTAGCTTTATTTGGTACGCAGATAGTGTAGTGAAATTTTGAAAAATAAAAAAGTTCCTCTATTACTGAAAATAGTGCCGCAAAAAAGTAAAGATTAAAGTTTTGTCTAGTTTTACAAAAAAACTAGGTTTTCTATACTAATGAAACTAACGCAGTAATCTCCGCTTACGTTTCTTCTGCCGATAAAAAAAAAGTTGAAAATATCTTGTTTAGTTCCGGAGATATCGCGAGGTATGTGTGAAAAAGTAATGAAACATATAATTTTGACAGATTTTTGACAAATTTCGCAATAAAAAATGTTGTCCCTATTAAAAAATGTTGTAATTGCCGATTTCAGATGGCCAGGTACCTAGACTATTATTTTGTAAAGACCACAGGTGGTTGTACCTTAAAGAAAAAATCGAAACCTTTTTGACCGTTTTTCAATCCACTAATAACCATTTTGTTGTATCAATTAACAAAATTATCATTTCCCCTGTTGGCTTCCCTATTTTGTCGCCTACTTCTTTAGCCATACTATGGTATGTTTTTTTCAATAAAAGTGTATTTACAAACAGTTCAATAGAATATATAATTCACATACCCAAGCAAGTAATAGAAAAAGCAGACGAATATTAAATCGTAATAGACTTTGAACTAGCTACTTTATTGTATTAAATATTTAGCAAAAAGTATGAAACGAAATGTATCGATATTTGTATCAATAAAAAATTGCGATCATGCAAAATATTTGTATCTTTAAATTAAATTAAAAATCAATACAAAATACTCCCTCCATACTTTGCTTCTTTTAGACAACATTGCTTGTTAAGAGTATTATTAAAAAAGCAATCATGCAACCTTGTGTATAATCTCTTTAAACGAATTCAAAATATTAAGAAACAATCAAAAATATTCCCTTGTTTGGTATTTTCATAGATTAAAGAGACCGGAGATATAACATTGTACAATGTTGTCTATTCCAACCTTAAGTAACCCACCAATTAAAAATCATTGTTTCCACAAGTAAACCATCATGAACCGCCGTTTTTTGAATTATTTGTTGGTGTTACAATTTATAGTATTTAGTTATTCAATTTCAAGTTGAAAGTGCCACGATGTGTCGTGAAAAAAGTTCCAATGTTATGAAAAATAAGAAATATATTCGTTTTCAGCGGTAAATATTTATTAACGTTTTGACATAAAGCCGCCATGATTCTTTGAGCTGAATACTTCAGGTCCGCATTAAGGGATTTCAATAAATATTAAGCATAAAATATTTTTCTGGAAACAGATTTCATATTACTTACATAAATTTACAAAAGGGCAAAATTTTGAACATTTAATTTAAATAAGAAGTAAATAGGCATTGTTGTTAAAGAAATTTTGTTTTAAAATGTAGTTTTTTAAGAATATTTACTAAAGGTGGTTTTTAGCCCTATTTGGTAGATAAATAAAAAATAAAGAAGCATAGATAATAGCGAAATTTTGTTTTTATGAGGTATTTTTATATGAATATTAGATAAAATACAGGATGATCTGCTTGAAATTTCAAAGTTCATCTTATTTGCGGTCAAATCGGAAGTAACATTTAAAAAAAAGTAAAACGCATAATATCTAGTATAAGCAAAAAAATAAATAATAAAGTTACGGGAGTTAATAAAATGATACATTATAAACCCCTAAACAATATTAATTATTAATTAAACAATCGAATGCGGTCTTAAAGAAAACGAGATAAAAAATCCGAATTTCTAAATTTTGGAGGTAAATGCTCGGATAAAAGCAAGCGACTGATTAATCGATTATGAAAATCGATTTATCCGTTATAATTAATTGATTATTTTCGATTAATTGAATATTTTCAATAAATTATTAAAAGATAATGGAATAATCGATTTTAAAAGAAAATCGATTTATTGAAAATAATCGTTTGACTGAAAATAATAAACGATTTTTTTTAGAAAAATAGACTTATCGTTTAATCGACCTTTTTAACAATTCGATTATTTTTGATTTTTCAAAAATATTCGAATAATTTATTTAAAAGAAATACGAAAAAAACATGAAAATAATCGATTGATCGAATATGATAGGTTATTTTATATATATATAATCGATATTTCGGTTATTTTTAATATATCGGTTATTCAGCTTTTTAATTAATCGATTAGTTTCGATCTATTGATTACTTTTTAAATATAATCGAATAATCAATTTTAAAGGAAAAAATAGATTATTTGAAAATAATCGATAATTCGATTATTTTTTTGAAAAATCGATTTATCGTAGAATCTGTTCCTTAATTAATCGATTATTTTCGATGTTTCAAAGATAATTAAATAATCAATTTTAAAGTGAAAAAATAAATTATTCGAAAATAATTTATTATTTAAAATAATCGACAATTCGATTATATATTTTTTTTAAATCGATTTATCGGTTAATCGACTATTTTTGATTAAACGATTTTTTTTAAATTTTCAAAAATTATCGAATAATATATTTCAATGGAAATACAAAAAAAATAGATTATTTGAAAATAATCGACTATTTAAAATATTCGATAATTCCTATATGTATTATTTTTTGAAAACAGCGATTTATAGTTTAATCGTCTTTTTAATTAATCGATTATTTGCGATTTTTCAAAGATAATCGAATAATCGATTTTAAAGGAAATACGAAAAAATAGAAGCTGTAAAAATAATCCATTGATCGAAAATAATCGATTATTGTCAATGATTAGTAATTTATTTCGATAAAAAAATCACCTTAATTTTATTTCCTAATACAAAATTTCATTAAACACCTTTTTAATAAATCTAATAGGTAATAAAGTCCATTCCTGTCACAGAGTTCGGGTCTCCTC